AGGAAGGTATGGAGGGCAACCATGGATGCCAGGGACAATGGGGGAGGAAGATGGGACATAGCAGAGGGTGGGGGATGGGGAATCAGGGATGGCAAGACAAAGGGCAAGGTATGCAGGACGTAAGAATTGGAAAATTATTTGCTGAGAACATGTATGTGGATGTGCTTGATTGAGCCAATGCACAGTGTATTTTGGATGGAAAATTCATTTGTGTGTTGTGATGGTGTAAAGTGAATTAATAAAAAAAAAAGTTAGTGGAAAAATGGAATTAACGTATGATGGGTGGGACAATGATGCAGCACTAGACCATGACACTCTGAGAAGCTGACCTATATGGGAGGGTTCCATATTCGGATCCAGAGACCTCTCTGAGTTAGTGGGTCTCCATGATTGGGGCTAGCTGAAGGTGAAAGTAGATTCATGGCATCAAGACCTTGTTGGGGTGCTTTCTCCCTGTCTCTTTTTTTTTCTGTCTCTCTCATCCAAGGCAGAAATAAATTTTTTAAAAATGGAATCAAGTACAAGTCTATTCTGGTCTAAAAAATGTTGAAATCCAGGACCAGCAGATAGCATAATGGTTATGTTACTGGACTCCCGTATATTAGACTGTAGTTCAAGTCCCAGACTCAGCAGCTTAAAACTAACACTGAGCGGAACCAGTTGGCATAATAGCTATGCCACTGGACACTCATGTAGTCGACTGCGGTTTGAATCCCGGATCTGGTGGCTTAAACTCACACCAGGCACATGGGCATGCTTGTCCAAGATCCTGAGAGGAGAATGGAAGAGAATGGATTGCTGCATGGCCAACCCCCCAGGGGGTGATTTCTCGTTTTCTCTCTGTCTCTCTCTGTCTTTCTGGCAAGTGCACGTGCCTTATAGCAAAAACCTCTTAAAACAAAACAAAAAACCTAACACTGGGCACATGGGTGTGCATGCCTAAAATCCTGGGGGGGAGAGTGGAGGAGAAGGGATTGTGGCATGGCCATCTCTCCTAGGGGATTATTTCTTGCTTATGTCTCTCTGGAGAGCACATGCGCCCTATAGCAAAAATTTCTCTTGAAAAAATATTGAAATCCATGCAGTTTTTTTGTAATACACATTTTCCACATACTTATTGAGGACTCTTCCTCCTCCTATACACTTTAAAGAAAAGGCTGGGGATCATTTCATAGGTTACTTTCTCTATATACATCTCTCGTCTTTTCTCTTCACTGCTCTCTCTCTTCTGTTTTAATACCATTGCACATCGCTTCAACGACTGGCCTGTCAATATTTCCAATTTTCCTTCCCCACTGTTCTTTCATTGCACCAGCGCTTCTGAGTACTTCAAGTAAAAAATAGTAAAACATAAAACTGCTGATAGTGGTCATCATAAATTCAAGGTTAACATACTCAGTATGGGCCTCAGTGATGCCTGGTAATCCTATTAGCTTTCCCTTCTCAGCTTTCTTCTTCCCAAATTCCATAGTCATTTTTCTGCACAGTCACGATTTTCAAAAATTCACAGCCTTCCTTTTTTCCCTTCCTTTACACTGGAAAGGTGTTTCCCATGCCCTGCTTTTATTCTTACTTTCCTTATCTATTTATCCTTTCTCTGGCAAATGTGATCAGTTTCTCTATTGCTCTCAACAGTTAAGCATGCTCAGGATTCTCTGGTTATAAAAAGAGACTTCTTTGGGACCAGCAGTTAGTATAATGGCTATGTCGCTGGACTCCCATGTGGTCGATGGCGGTTCGTGTCCCGGATCCGGGGGCTTAAAACCCACGCTGGGTGTGTGTGCGTGCATGCCCAAGATCCTGAGAAGAGAATGGAGGAGAAAGGACTGTGGCGTGGCCATCCTCCCTGGGGGGGTGATTTCTCGCTTTCTGTCTCTTTGTCTCTCTCTGTCTGTCTGGCGAGTGCATGTGCCCTATGGCAAAAACCTCTCAAAAAAAAAAAAA